TGTTATCACAGCCTAAACAAGCAACACCTCCTGAGGAAATATTATGTCTACAAACATGCTACAATGGAATGACAGAATACTGGAGCGGAGAAAGAGAAGGATGAAAAATGAGGTTAAACGTGTCTGAATCTTCACAGACCCCAGCATAGACAACATTTCACAGTCACCTCCTTCTCTGGAAATGCATTCCTCTTCGGAGCAGAAATGCATTTTTATTATTCTCTCATCATTTTTTGGTAAACAGAAGATCAAACATGCGTGCTTGACGTTCCAGAACCAGTGAGCTTTGTTCTTCTGCATCAAGCGAGCATCTCTGAGCTTCCATTTACCATATTTAATGTGCTCTACATGTGTGCATTAATCAATGTTGATATGTGAATAAAAGCTTAAATTAAATCTGTTCATCATAAAAAGCAATCGTTATGATCGTTATTGTTTTCAGTAATCAAGAAGAACGTTCAATCTGTGCCACCAGCTTTACCAAATGGAACTGCAAAAACAATGATCGTTAAAGTTTCCTGAACATCAGCCTGTCTGCCATTGTTCAAAATGAACAAAATGGAAAAAAAGATAAACACAACATAAACTAAGAAATATCTTAATTTCAGCTCTTGTTTCTAGATGACTAATCCAATGTATTAAAAGTAAATAAGAGTCACCGATCATGAGACATTTTGTAATCTTGCTTCCATTGAAGCTCAATGACCTTTAGAACATAAACAAACCCAAATACTGGGACTTTGTTAAATTCATAATTTTTCAAACTGTTATGCTGATTATGTATGTTATTAAATAAAGGATATATTTTGGAGAAATGTAGCATTCCATCACTTGCTCACCAAGTGACGGATTTGTTTCTTACAAACACGCAGCTTTTGTCTTCTCCAGATGTTAACTGATGGACTGGAGTAGTGTGGATTATTGTGATGTTTTTATCAGCTGTTTGGACTCTCATTCTGACGGCACCCATTCACTGCAGAGCATCCATTGCTGAGACACTGATGCAATGCTACATTTCTCCAAATCTGATGAAGAAACAAACTCATCTACATCTAGGATGGCCTGAGGGTGAGCACATTTACAGCTAATTTTAATTTTTGGGTCAACTATTCAATTAATTGGATGAGTTAGAAATTAAATCTATTTATTTCTGTTTAAATCGGCCATATTGTTAAATCATCTCTTTGTAAAGAATGGTACAGTGAACACTGAACGAGGCGCTGCAGGGATTGTTCCTGTTAAGTGGCCCATAAAAATGCTCTAAATGTTTTGCTCAGTAAGAACAAAAAACATAAACCATGCATTATTTTGCAATTCAGAAAGAAGTTTCCCTCTTGGCAAGTGTTCATTTTGGACCAGGATTTAAAGTTTTGACAGAAGTAAAATTCTTGCTTTGTTACGTCACATGACACACATTTGTGTTCACCTTTGGGAGAGTGATTTGGCACACAAGTGCCAACTATAGAAGCATAAACATGTCTGTTTTATTTTATTTTTTTATTATTATATATTTTTTTTTAATTCAATAAACGAATACGCTAATTAACTAACATAAATCAGAGCACTGATGAAGTGAATACGTCAATGATTACTCTGGAGGATAATGTGTTTGACCTCATGCAGATAGTTAACACCCCATAACAGCTCAGAATGAGAAACATTTGGACTGTAAACGGGCATCTCTGCAGTTCTGCTCTGGCAGCAGATTTTGTTCTGTTTTCACCTCCATAAACAGTCTATCATACAGTAAAGTCTGCATTCTTCTGGTTAAACACACTGCAGAAGACTGTTACAGGATGCAACACAGAGAAAATAAACGTTATATATTGTAAACCCGCCTTTACTTTTGGGCTACAATGATCCCACAATAAAATAATGTAGGTTAATGTATGTTTAGGGATGCTCAATGTATCAGTGACCAATAACCATGTCGATTTAGCTGATCATCGCAGAGCTCATTTTTACCAATTCAAAAAACATGATTTTTTTTATATAGTAATGTTTCGATGCCTAATTTCACTTGTTTTGTTTGTTTGTTTTTAAAACATGAAAAACAGTACAGATATATAAGATCATATCTCATGGTTGTGATCTGTCTTACGAAGCAGTTGCAGCGTTGAGGGACAAACATCTTGCAGGCTGTGGCGATGTGGTTAAAACATGAAAAACAGTACAGATATATAAGATCATATCTCATGGTTGTGATCTGTCTTACCGAAGCAGTTGCAGCGATGAGGGACAAACATCTTGCAGGTTGTGGCGATGTGGATCTCAGCGCTCAGAACAGCTTTAATGATCAGATCCTCAATCTGGCCCATGAGCACTGACAAACACAGAGAAACAATCCCATCGGCTGATCATTCCAGCTTGATAAAGGTTTATTTCTATTCATTCTAAACAGCAATAGTCTTTTTATCATGCAAAACACAACCACTTGCAAAAGCATTGAAATATAGTTGCTCCTCCCGTCATTTCCATCACCAGTTTTGTAAGCAAACAAAATTTTTTGCACTCAAATGCAAAGTTTCTCAGGGGAATGCAAAACTTTTATAAAAGCATAAAGTTCTTGTGAATGAATGCATAAGCATTGAAATGTAATTTTTCCTCCCATCACTAGTTTTTAATTGTTTCACAACATTTTGTAAGAATGCAACTATTTTGAGAGCAAACACAATGTTTCTTGGGGGCAAGCAAAAGAAAGCGCAAAAGGTTTTGTAAGCAAAGATCAAACTTTGCAAGAGAATGCAAAGTTTCCAGGTGGAACAAAACATTTTTGAGAGAAAAAAAAGTTTCGTAAGTGAACACATAATCAATAAAATATAATTTTCTTCACATCTTATATTATTTCCATCAGTTTTGCAAGCAAATGCAAAGCTTTTTCAAGAGCATGCAGGAAACAATGTTTCTTGGGGGCATGCAAAAAAGAACGCAAAAAGATTTGTGTGTAAAGTTTATACATTGCAAGAGAATGCTTAACGCTTTGAAAGCAAACGCAAAGTTTCTCAGGGGAACACAAAACTTTTGCAAGTGAATGCATGGTTTCATTTTTCCTCCCATCTCATAACTCAACTGTGTGCAGAATTCATACAGAAGACCAAGTGTTCGAGTTGTATGAGCTTTTATGTTTTTTTGTTTTGTCTTTTTTGGAGGACACAGGTCACGGTCTACGATCAGTAAAAGGAAAAGGAGTAGTGGATGACCAGTATGACTACAGTGCAGTTTAATAGGAAATGCTGCTGATGTAATCTGTAATCTGCAGCTGTTGTTCATCAGGAGTAACAAGCGTGTCAATCTACAAATGACTCTGTCGTGCTTTGTGCTTGAGAATATCTGCAGATTAGTGGTTATGAATGTCAAACGTCACGGAGTGTTAAACATGAAAGTATATGATTGCATAAGCTCTACTCACATGTGGTGTCTTTGCCTTCTTGCCTCAAATATCTCAGCATTGCGCTCATGCTCCATTTGTTCCCATAATCCTCTACTTCAGGGTCATCGCAGCTGAAAGGAAGAGAAACCCTGACTGTCAGCACTGCCAAAACAATGCTGAGAAATGGGCACAACGTAACAATGTTGACATGATAAGCAAACACAAGGATTAGCTGGTATTTGAAAACACATTCCCGTTTAGGAGTGATGAACAATGAGAAGTGATTATTTAACTATTATTTCTGACAGCTTAGATCTGTTCTCATTACTGTAACACGCATGATGCTTTATGGCATGAGCTGCCACAAGACAAACACAAGCTACTCTAATATCATCAGGCATTCATAAAGAGCTATTAAGGATTATTGCTACAGAACCTTGTGCAGATTGAGGGACAAACATCTTGCAGGCTGTGGCGATGTGGATCTCAGCGCTCAGAACAGCTTTAATGATCAGATCCTCAATCTGGCCCATGAGCACTGACAAACACAGAGAAACAATCCCATCGGCTGATCATTCCAGCTTGATAAAGGTTTATTTCTATTCATTCTAAACAGCAATAGTCTTTTTATCATGCAAAACACAACCACTTGCAAAAGCATTGAAATATAGTTGCTCCTCCCGTCATTTCCATCACCAGTTTTGTAAGCAAACAAAATTTTTTGCACTCAAATGCAAAGTTTCTCAGGGGAATGCAAAACTTTTATAAAAGCATAAAGTTCTTGTGAATGAATGCATAAGCATTGAAATGTAATTTTTCCTCCCATCACTAGTTTTTAATTGTTTCACAACATTTTGTAAGAATGCAACTATTTTGAGAGCAAACACAATGTTTCTTGGGGGCAAGCAAAAGAAAGCGCAAAAGGTTTTGTAAGCAAAGATCAAACTTTGCAAGAGAATGCAAAGTTTCCAGGTGGAACAAAACATTTTTGAGAGAAAAAAAAGTTTCGTAAGTGAACACATAATCAATAAAATATAATTTTCTTCACATCTTATATTATTTCCATCAGTTTTGCAAGCAAATGCAAAGCTTTTTCAAGAGCATGCAGGAAACAATGTTTCTTGGGGGCATGCAAAAAAGAACGCAAAAAGATTTGTGTGTAAAGTTTATACATTGCAAGAGAATGCTTAACGCTTTGAAAGCAAACGCAAAGTTTCTCAGGGGAACACAAAACTTTTGCAAGTGAATGCATGGTTTCATTTTTCCTCCCATCTCATAACTCAACTGTGTGCAGAATTCATACAGAAGACCAAGTGTTCGAGTTGTATGAGCTTTTATGTTTTTTTGTTTTGTCTTTTTTGGAGGACACAGGTCACGGTCTACGATCAGTAAAAGGAAAAGGAGTAGTGGATGACCAGTATGACTACAGTGCAGTTTAATAGGAAATGCTGCTGATGTAATCTGTAATCTGCAGCTGTTGTTCATCAGGAGTAACAAGCGTGTCAATCTACAAATGACTCTGTCGTGCTTTGTGCTTGAGAATATCTGCAGATTAGTGGTTATGAATGTCAAACGTCACGGAGTGTTAAACATGAAAGTATATGATTGCATAAGCTCTACTCACATGTGGTGTCTTTGCCTTCTTGCCTCAAATATCTCAGCATTGCGCTCATGCTCCATTTGTTCCCATAATCCTCTACTTCAGGGTCATCGCAGCTGAAAGGAAGAGAAACCCTGACTGTCAGCACTGCCAAAACAATGCTGAGAAATGGGCACAACGTAACAATGTTGACATGATAAGCAAACACAAGGATTAGCTGGTATTTGAGATCACATTCCCGAGCCGTGTTGGAGTGATGAACAATGAGAAGTGATTATTGAACTATTATTTCTGACAGCTTAGATCTGTTCTCATTACCGTAACACGCATGATGCTTTATGGCATGAGCTGCCACAAGACAAACACAAGCTACTCTAATATCATCAGGCATTCATAAAGAGCTATTAAGGATTATTGCTACAGAACCTTGTGCAGATTCAGATAGAAGGACGTTTCGCACATTTCCTGTGTTAGTATTGGTGGAAATTGTGCTTAATATATAGGCTTAATCATGGTTAAATGAGTTTATGATTGCAATAATGATCTGCTGATTGTACCTCTCCTGTTCTTACTGACTACCTGTCCAGCAACGTTTCAGGAAAGACATTTTAATTTAAAAAAATGAATAAAATGTTCGCTAAAAATAAAAACTCTCTCTTCAACAATGTAAATGCTGCATTTACCTCTTCCAAACTGTACCAAGGAGATTTTGATGATTTATGATCAATATATTTCAATATAATCACATTTTATCACATTTTGAAATCTGATATATCATCCCATCCCTATAAGATGACATCTCAAATCTATCTATCTTTTAAACTTAAAATGCTTTTTTATTTTGAAACTTTTAAACAAGGCTTCATCAAGTAAACACTCAAAGTCTGTCCTGACAAACTGTGCTTTTCTAGTTAAAAAATTTATTTTCTTTTTATTTTAATTAATTTGAATTTTAATTCTACTTAAATTAAATTCTGCATTATTTTTGCTACCTCAATTCAAATATAACAGTTGAACTGGAATTTAAAAGGTATTTTCATGTTTAAGAAAATTTAATTGACGACTTATGTATTTGAATTACATATAAAATTTTCATCCACTTGGATTATACAGTTTAACATAAACTAATAAACTTAATGTGATGCATATTTGTCAGTCGTTCATAAATTAAACAGGTCAGATTTCTGAAATAGTACTAATAAACTGAACGCGTTTTAAATACACAATAACCAGGTGTATATATTTATCATCAATAAATCCAATTTCAGTTATTTCAGTTCAGTCTGTTTCAGTCTCATACATTTTAATATTGAATATTGCTTGTTCCACAGCTAGCCATATTTTAGCCATGTTTATACTTTTTAAGTGAATAAATCGAATTGCTTTCACAATGAACAGATTTCCGCTGATTGATCTGAACAACTGCATTTTTTTAATTATGTTTGTTTAAATAAATTCAAATGCAAATAGCTATTAATAAACTATGCAATGAGTAAATTATGACAAATAAGCTTGAAGGTAGCGCTGGGCGGTATATTGAGTTTGTACAATATATCGATATATTTTTATAAATGATTAGTGGCCGACTGATGGGATTTTTAATGGCCGATGCCGATATTGAGAAATCAATCTGGCCGATATAATACATGTAATTACAGTAAATGAGAGACATGCAGAAAATGGGTGAAATTAAAAGAACATTTATTATGCATAAATATTTATTAAAACCTACATTTAAAAAATGTAAACAATTGAGGTAACAATTAGTGCAGCCTTTCCTTTTCTTTTGCTCAAACATCTACAAAAAAAATATATTTATAAAACCTAAACAATTAAATATATATTTATATTTATTTATAAAACCTAAACAATTAAAATGTAAACAACAGAGGTAACACTTAAATGAACAAGGCCTTTCTAACATTCATAATTAATGATCAAATTAATATTCATAAATTAATGAGTACGGCTGTCACAATAAACATGAAATGTGAAAATTAATGAAAAGTGTAGTGGTCGACCAATATGGGATTTTTAATGGCCGATGCCGATATTGAGAAATCAATCTGGCCGATATAATACATGTAATTACAGTAAATGAGAGACATGCAGAAAATGGGTGAAACTAAAAGAACATTTATTATGCATAAATATTTATTAAAACCTACATTTAAAAAATGGGTTAATAATAAAGATATATATCTCTGATCTGTTTGGTTTTGCTTGTCTGTTTCATTGTAAAAATAATACAAGCCTGAAGGCGTATAATTACATGCTTGATTATCAGCATATAGCAGCATTAAATAAGACCGGAACATATGAAAAGGTACTACACGTGATATTACGCCAATCATGGGCAATGATAAATGCACGATATGGTGTCATAATCCGTTTTGAGAAACATCAGCCACACGGAAAGACTTATCGGCCGATGCAGATACTTAAAAAATCCCAAATATCGGCCGATATATCGGCTGCGGCGATATATCGGCCGACCACTATAAATGATATGGAATGAAGCAATATCGTTTAAATCGATATACAGTAGTTTAATACGAGTGCATCTGAAAAATAGTGGAGGACAGAAAGTGCATCATCCAGTTTGTCCTAAACATGGGACATGCTTTATATTAAGGGTTTTAAAATAACTGGTAAGATAAAAGCTATAGTTAACACGTATAGTTTAAAGAGGCTGTTAGTCTGTGCTTTTGCTGTTTATTTACTTTCATTTTTAGTTTAGTGAATTTAACTTCTGCTTTAAAAAGCATGTGATTTTAACCCTTTTTTGCTCATAATATATAGCATAGCCTGCACGGTTACATTCACTATATTTGTTTTCATTGTCTTTAATAGAAACATTGTTTCATTAGACAATATTGGGCAGAATGTTTACCCTGTTTACACCCTTTACAATATATTTTCACAACATAGCACAGCCTCTATTTTTCATACCGCCTTACAATCCGTCAGTGCTGATATGCACACGGGACAGGGTGTGCTGTTCAAATTATGGCATTAAAATACCAGCAGACCTATTTGGCACATAAATGTTGTGCTTAATACTAAGACTATAAAAGTCGAAATATCAAACCCCGAGAGAGCTCACCTGACGTAGTCGCTGCTCTTCTTGTTGACACTGTAGTTGGTCAGATGCATGAACTGGTTCTTGATGTTTGCCGTGGCGTGGTCATACTTCACTGTGGCAAACCTACAACACACACAAGCAAGAAGGAAAACTGAGCTTAATAGCGAGTATGACATTCAACTGACCTGCTGAAAAGAATAAATAGGTACAGCACCAAAGCAAGCAGACTTGTGTTAACTTAACACGGGACAACATTCACAAATCCAGCCACAAATCTATCTAATATTAATGTGACATATAAACAGAGAGGTTTTGCAACAGCCATCGGACAATATTTGGCTGAGATACAACTATTTGAAAATCTGGAATCTGAGGGTGCAAAAAAATCTAAATATTGAGAAAATCATCTTTAAAGTTGTCCAAATTAAGTTCTTAGCAATGCATATCACTAATCGAAAATTAAGTTTTAATATATTTACAGTAGAAAATGTACAAAAAATCTTCATGGAACATGATCTTTACTTAATATCCTAATGATTTTTGGCATAAAAGAAAAATCTATAATTTTGACCCATACAATGTATTTTTGGCTATTGCTACAAATATACCCCAGCGACTTAAGACTGCTTTTGTGCTCCAGGGTCACATTTTAGCAGTTTCATCGTCCTGAAGTCAGTGGGTTTTTTTGGTTAAATGCCTGAAATAAGACTGAAAACAAGCTCAAGGTGTTTTTATGTTTTATTCTACAACATAAAATACATTAGTAATACCCCCCTTGTGATTTTAAGGAGTAGTCATGTAAAACCAAAAGCTGTGTGTTTGTAAGAAACAAATCCATTATTAAGATGTTTTTAAAGTCAAACCGTCACTTACGCCTAGTGCTAGTGCTGTCAATCGATTTAAAAAAAATTACGAATTAATCTCACATTTTTCTCGCGATTAATCCCACCTAACATTAAAGTTTTTAAATATACTTTTATATTGCAATAATTTCACATTCAATCTTCAAATTAATGTACAAACACCATAAAGACAGTATATTTTTAAATATCTGTTTAATGGCATCTTTTTTATGACTGAAGGCCAGTATCAATGATACTAATACTGATTTCTCTATAAAATTGCCCCCACCCCCCAATATTTAACCATTGACTAGCCATTCAACATTACAGTATAACTGAGAGCTATCAATTTTAACATTAATTAGACTTTAAAAAATAACTTCTAATTTAAGTGAACTTAAAACAATCTTCACATAAACCCATTATAATAAATGTCATATTTACCTGTGCACTTCAGCAGAAATATACAGAAATTGAAATGATCAAACACTAATAGACTAATAGACATCACAGCACGCTGCGAGCACAGTACCGTTTCCGCGCTCGCTTGACTCGCGCCTGACGCTGAAGTGAAGTGAAGCGCGCGTCTGAAACGCCTCCCGTTCTCAGTCGTTCTGCGACTGAATAAATGCACTTCCTCGTCAAGAGAAATAGTGGCAGAAGCAGCAGTTGTGGGTGGGGTGGCCAACCCTAGCCCCACCCCTGCGTTAATTGCATAAAATATTTTTAACGCATTAAACTGAAAAAAATTAATCGCCTGCGTTAACGTGCTAATTTTGACACCACTAATAATAATGCTTCCTCCAGTGAAAAAGTGCATCTCCTGTTGTCTCTCACATTAAAATCCAGCCACGTATTTGTTTAGAGCTGTTTTGGACTGTTTAAACAGATTTCTCTCCTGATTCAGACCAGACCATTTTTTCACTGGAGGAAGCGTTATTATGGATTATGGACTTGTATTTTAGCCGGGAGCAACAGTTTGAAGTTAAAAACGCCTTGATGATGGATTTGTTTCTTACAAACACACAGCTTTTGTCTTCTCCAGATGTTAACTGATGGACTGGAGTGCTGTGGATTACTTGTGGATTATTGTGATATTTTTATCAGCTGTTTGGACTCTCATTCTGACGGCACCCATTTACTGCAGAGCATCCATTGCTGAGACACTGATGCAATGCTACATTTACACAAACCTGATGAAGAAACAAACTGAACACTGAACAGATAAACTCATCTATCACTAGTCACTTTCACAGCCTTGTTGTGTTTATAGTCACGCTCTTCCAAACTATTCTAACTCAAACTTTCATGGAAAATGTTTTGAAAGACTGAAAGAGTTTTTGAAGGCTTAATGGTGGTGACGATGAAGCCATGTGACCGTGGTGTAGTTGTTTATAGCCTGTGTTTAGCTTTTTACTTCTGGCGATTTAGGCTTCACACTTGTGTCTATTTAGGATGAACCAGACTTTTAAGAATCATACTTTTGCTGGTCATTTTCTGCAATAATCCACAAGCCAATATTGGGTTTTGTCGAGGGAATCAGGGTGATGCTAATTTACAGGATGGCCTACAGAATACATCATCACTGCAGCGCTCTATACTGATGAAGTCATGAAGTCTAATCTGTTTGTTCTCTTCACAAACTGCACATTATGGTACAGTGACAATGCTGCATAATCACAAACAGAGTTCTATAACTGTAATCTGAGTGATTTGTCCCAAAGCTCACAGTATTCCCGGAATGCACCACCGCTGGGTTTGAGAGGAGTGGACGCCACATGTGGAGGAAGAGTTTCCTGGCACACAGAGAGCACCTGAATGCCTGCAAAGCTTCTGGGATCTCCAAGATAAAAGTTGAGTTGGGAAAAGTGCCAGGATGTACGGCCAGCAGTTCATAAGAGAGTGTGTCACTCTGTAAAGGCGGCGTCAGCGCCAAGCGTTTTACACACACCAGACCACAGCGGCCGGATACACCGGATTTGTCTGAGCTTCTCACTCACATGTCTGAGAAAGCGTTCTCCTCGCTGTGCCAAAAGCAGGACACCGTGTGTATATCTAGATTGAATTCACAGGCGCTCAACGCAGGGTTAAATCTTTCCCACTACTATTCGTGGCTTATGTAAAAATATCATAAAAAAGGAGCCTCTTCAGGTAGAAGACATTTAAAAAGCCAATTATGTAAGCCTGAGAACATACTCACTTAAAATGTTTTTAAACTATCACATTTCCTTGGTGATTTAAATATGTAAAA